ATTTGACATAGTACTGGGAGTTCTAGCCAGTGCAATCAGGTAAGAAAAATAAACAAGGGGTATCCAAATTGGAAAAGAAATCAAACTATCTCTGTATGCTGATGTTATAATCTTATACCTAGAGAATCTTAAAGACTCCTCCAAAAGACTCCTGGACTTGATAAATAAATTCAGTAAAGTTTCAGGATATAAAATTGATACACACAAATTAGTATCACCAATAGCAACCAAACTGAAAATCAAAACAAGAACTCAATTCCATCTGTAATAGCAGTCATAAAGCTAAAATACCTAGGAATATATTCAGTCAAGGAAGTGAAAGATCTCTACAAGGGGAACTACAAAACTGACAAAAGAAATTGTAAAGGGCACAGACAAATGGAGAAACAGCCCATGCTCATGGATTGGAAGAATTAACATTGTTAAAATAATCATATTATGCAAAGTTATCTACAGATTCAATACAATCGCTATCAAATTACCAACACCATTTCTCACAGAATTATAAAAAACAATCTTAAAATTCATATGGAGCCAAAAAAGAGCCAGAAGAGCCAAAGCAATCCTAAGCAAAAAGAACAAAGCTAGAAGTATCTCATTACCTGATTTAAATTATACTGCAAAGCTGTTGTAACCAAAACAGTATGGTAATGGTTCAAAACAGACACGTGGAAAAACTCTACTGGACATCAGGCTAGGCAAAGAATTTATGACTAAAATTCCAAAAGCAAATGCAACTATGTTGGGAGCCGGCCACGGAGGTCCACTGAGCATTAGGGATCAGGAAGGGCCGTTGACCCTGAGACCGCTAGGATGCGTTCGGGAGCTATTGACCCCATTTCCTCCTCCTTTCTACTCAGCACTAACCAGATTAAGCTCCTGTGAACTCAAAACATAAAAACTCTGATACCGGGACAAACACAAGCTAACTTTAGAAGCTCATTGCTCCCATTCTTCCACAAACTGCAGTTTTGGCTTTCACACAACTTATAATTCAAACTCGGGTCACATCTAAGAGCCTTAGTATTGGTCACAGGCTTCTGGGTTATGATCTTAGGATTTATTGAAGTTGAATAAATGGATTAAGGTTTCCTCGATTAGGTTATGGGATTATACCTGAAAGAACATCCGGTGGGTGGGGAACGCCCCTCACACACCCGACTGTGTATAAAAGACCAGTTGTAATTCCCATTAAATGGCTTCTGCACTAGCAGGTGTCCAGTCTCTTTCTTTCTCTCTCTCTCTCTCTCTCTCTCTCTCTCTCTCTCTCTCTCTCTCTCTCTTTCTTTCTTCTTCCCCCCAATCACCAGCACCATCTCCACCTTTGGGGTACCCTGAACCTGGCTGGAGCTGGTCTCCAGCATAACTAAAACAAAAATAAACAAGTGGGATTTAATTAAACAAAAAGGCTTATGCATAGCAAAAGAAATAATCAACAGAGTAAATAGGCAACCTACAAAATAGCAGAAGATATTCACAAACCATTCACCTGACCAAGGACTAATAACCACAATTTACAAAGAACTCAGATCAGCAATAAAAAAGCAAATAGCCCCACTAAAAAGTGGGCAGACTACATGAATAGACTTCTCTCAAAAGAAAGTATACAAATGACCAAAAGCATTTTTAAATGCTCAACATCACTCATCATCAGGAAAATGCAAAATAAGACCACAATGAGAGACCACCTTACATCAGTCAGAATAGCCATTATTTAAAAGTCAAAACATAATAGATGCTGGTACAAAAGTGGAGAAAGGGGAACATGTATACTCGGTTGGTGGGTGTGTAAATTAGTACAAGCTCCACGGAGAGTCGTATGGAGACTACTCAAACGACTAAAAATAGATCTACCATTTGATCCAGAAATCCCACTGCTAGGTATCTCCCCAAAGGAACAGAGGTCATTATATAAAAGGACAGCTGCACCTGCTTGCTCATTGCAGCACAATGCACAACTGTAAAGACATGGAATCAACTTAAATACCCATCAACTGATCAGTGGATAATAAAAATGTGGTAAGTATATGCTATGGAATACTATTCAGCAATCAAAAAGAATGAAATAATATCTTTTGTAGCAACTTGGATGGAATTGGAAAATGTCATCCTAAGTGAACTAACTCAGAAACAGAAAACCAAACACCACATGTTCTCACTTATAAGTGAGAGCTAAACTAAGGATCTGTAAAGACATAGAGAATGGCATAATGGACACTGGAGACTAGAAGCGGAGGGGATTGGGTGGAGGGAAGAAAAGTCACCAGTCAGGTACAATGTGCACAGGTGAGGGTCTTCGGTACACTTAAAACCCAGACCAAAACTATTTGTATCTCCCCAAAGCTATAGAAGTAAAATACATTTAAAAATAAAATAAAATACTAGAAAAAGAAACTTTTTCTTCACAATATAGGAAAAAATGCCATTAAATGTACAAATGTGAAGATTTTTCCTTTCCTCCATAGTCTTTCAATTCTTCATGATTTTTTTTTTTGCTATGTAATATCTTTCAAAGTAAAAGAACATCTAAATTTTTAAATTATTAGCACAAATTTTACTATTTATTTTAATATTGTCAATATCAGTTATAAATGCAAATATAATTGCATTTAACTTACATGCCAAATCACCAAAATAATGCAACTTTATTTTGTAGCTCATACGTGCATATGTATTTCATTCTTACCAAAGAAGTGGAAACACTGCACAAAACTCACTGCGTTGCTTTATGTTACCAACATTCTCCACTTTCAACTTATTGACGAAGAGAGAAAGACTGAAAGGAAAATAATGTATGGGTTACCCTAACTTTCTCTTTCTTTCTATGTCATTTTCAGAGTAAGAGGTTGCAGTTTCAACAAGATTCTTATCTTTTTTTTCCCAGGGAACTCTCCCCACATCATGGGTCCCCTAAAATTCTAGGCACATGGGGCATTGTGAACACCATAAGTGAATGGGGCCACAGGAACCATGACAGACTCATACATTGCAAGTATCTCCTCTGCTGCATTGTCTCATGGGGCTTGATTGGTAAAACATAAGCCCAAAGATAAAATTATTAAAAAAATTTCAAATTGGCAATGGCAGAGCTTTAAACTAGGTAGGAGGACATTCTGAGTTTGAAGCTCTATGCAAATACACAGGTCCCAGGCCCAGAAACCAGCCCTGATGGTGACATAAGGGCCGAGCTCCCAGCTCCTTCTCCTGACATTGCAGTGTATGGTAGCTGGAAGTAAGTTGACAGCCCTTGCTCAAATTCAGAAAGCAGGAAAGGGAAAGTGATGCTTCATACAGAGCTCCCCATGCTGCAGCAGACAGGAGCATTCTGTAGCATTAACACAACCAGAGGGAAAGCTGGAGGGTTGGGTCATCTCCTTACAAAACAGAGCACTCAAAGGGAGCCTAGATGAAGCCTTACCCAGCAGTCCCTGGAGGGAAAGAGAGTTCAAACAGAAAAAGCTGTAAAACTAGCCTTGGCCACAGTGAAATCACTAACCACAGAAAAAAACTGAATAAAATGGGGCTCCTCAAATTCAGTTATTACCCTACCTCAGCTCCCAAGCAGTTTGGCTACTGAATGCAGTGGATTATTTTCTTAGACTGGGTTAGGTTCTAAAACCAGTTATAAGGAAAAAATAAATATGGCTAAAAAATTCCCCAAAATTCTTCTAAATTGCCTATATAGCATATGGTCTTATAATCGCTAAGTAATTCTAGCACATTGAATATTTTCTCATGGATTTAAACAGGCCATCATTTCCTAAAACAGGCCTGAATTTCTATAAATGAACACTTAGTGGCATAGGTGGCTTGTTTTAGAGATTTTAGAGGTATGCTACATTTAAAAAAGGAAGAGGCCAGACACAGTGCTCACTCCTGTAATCCCGGCACTTTGGGAGACTTGAGGTGCGAGGATTGCTTCAGCTCAGCCTAGGCAACATAATGAGACCCCAGTCTCTACAAAAGAAAATTTAAAAATTAGCCAAACATGGTGGCACACACCTATAGTTCCAGTTATTCAGGAGACTGAAGTGGAAGGCTTGCCTAAGCCCCGGAGGTCGAGGCGGCAGTGAGCCATGATTGTGCCACTGCACTCCAGCCTGAATGAGAGTGAGACTCCAATTAAAACATAGGAGGAAGTTCTAAACCTTATAGTCAGAGATCTAGGAAAAGAACAATAGTTTAATATCTCTTATTTCATGCCCTCTGGAGCACACATGGTAGGAGCCCAGCACTATTTAACACTTCATTCATTTTTCTTTTGTTTAGAGTAGAAGGTTGCGTGCAGATACCTGAGTTGTATGTGATGCACCTGCAGTGTAATGTAAATTTACAACAATTAACTCTTTAGTTTATTATCTCTGAGGAGTATTTTCAAAATAAGAAGTGAGGTAATCTGTGTGGATTAAATTTGATGTTGACTATCCAACCATTGATTTGAGACAAATCCCAGATCTGGCCAAAACTCTCCTTTTTCAAGAATAAGTAAGGGGAAAAAGTAAAACTAACATGGGGCCCATGAGTAGGGTTTGCAAGATATGGCTTAGTGTCTATTATTCTGGGTCATTCCTCTGTGTACCTCTTCAATATTTGGATTCAAATATTCTTTAATTTTCAGGAGGTTTTTTGAAGTATATACTGTAGTTTCCATGTTATTCTGTTCCATTGTCTTGATTTCCTTTTTAAATACTTGAATTTTACATATGTTTTCTATACTCAGCTTATATGCCTTATACAGTAAATTCATTTTCCCCAAAAACTTTTTAAAAATTGATATTTTCCCATTATCCATAAATGCACAGATTTAGTCCTTATCCAAAAAAGTATTTTTTATTGTGTAGTCACACATATAAACATGCTTTCTGCTAGTGCTATTTGTATGTTAATTACTGCCTTGGTCATTCTGAGAAAGACTGAATTCCTAAGTCCTAGAAATGCCTTAGTTTAGGGGTGACTGTGGAACAGGAAACTCTTGTTGACCTGTGAAATTCCTCTTCCAGGTGTCTAAGATTGTGGATGCTATTTGTAAGCAATTGTGTAAAAATTCTTCTCACATTATGAGGATGACATGTTGCGAGTCATTACCTTGTTGATATGCACTTCACCCAAGATGGTCATCTTTCAACTTACGGACTACCCAGTCCCAACTAACAAGTAAGGTCCTCCACCCCTCCCCCTTCCACAAGGGCTTGTTCACAGACTCCACAGTCAGATGGACCTGGGCTCCAGTCTTGATCTATCATAGCTGGGCCCGATTTCTTTTTTTCCAAAATAGAAAATCTGTTTTTGCATCATGTAGGTTGAGTGTAAGGCTTAAATAAGATCATATATGTTAGCCGGGCTCGGTGGCTCAGCCTGTAATCCTGCGCCTTTGGAAGGCTGAGGTGAGTGGATTGCCTGAGCCCACAGGTTCGAGACCCGCCTGGGCAACTTGGCGAGACCTCATCTCTACAATAAATCAAAAACTAGCCAGGTGTGGTAGCGTGCACCTGTAGTTCTAGCTACTTCGAAGGCTGAGGCGGAAGGATCGCCGGAGCCCAGCAGGTCGAGGCTGCAGTGGCCAGGAGCGGCCACTGCACTCCAGTCTGGGTGGCAGAGTGAGACTCCAACTCAAAAAAAAAAGATTATATATGTTATTTATATCCTCATACAATAAATGATACACAATAAGCCCATAAGAAAAGATCAATGTCACTACTATTTATCTAAAGCTTTCAATTGCTTTCCACTGCACATCTCAATGGAAAAAAACTTTCGTCAAAGTGATAAGGATTCTCCTTCCCATTTGTGAATTTACTCATTTTTCCTGAGGAAATAAATTCACCCTTATGACAGTAACTAATTGACTCATAGAGTATTTTTCTTATTCATGAAGGACAAACAGACAGATATAAGATATTTCTACCTACCTATAAAAGAACAAACATTAAAAATTCCCAAATATAATTGGGAGTCCCCTGTCCCTTAACAGTTCATCTGAAATTCATGATTCAAGATAACAAGAAATATCTAAGAAGAAAAAAATGCTAAAAGGAGCCTATGGGACAGTATGAATTCAACAGACACATTAGAAAAGCTTAGAAAATCACATCACTCCATTTCTACGGTTTGTACATTGGAAAGGGAGAGGTTATACTTCTCAACTATTAATGGTACTGCCCAGCATGGTGGCTCACATCTGTAATCCCAACACTTTGGGAGGCCAATAAGAAAAGATTGTCTGAGCCCAGGAGTTCAAGACCAGCCTAGGCAACATAAGAAAACTTATCTCTACAAAAAAATCCAAAAAATAGCTGGACATGGTGGCACACACCTGTAGTCCCAGCTACTTGGGCAGCTGAGGTAGAAGGACTGCCTCAGCCCAGAAAGTCAAGGCTGTGGTGAGCCATGATCCTGTCACTGTGCTCCAGCATGGACAAAAGAGTGAGACTCTCAAAAAAACAAACAAAAACAGTGTAGAGGGCAGGATGTTATATTATGGAAAGGACTTGGGCTTTGAAAACAAATGAATCTGATTCCATTTCAATTTTGACCCTAACATTCTGTGCGAGAGAATGCAAGTTTGCTAAACCACTCTGATGCCCAATTTCCTCATCTAGAGAATGAGGCAAGTTCTTTCTATCTATAGAGTCATTATATGGGTCAATTAACCAATGTCTGTGAAAGGGCACTGAAATCAACAAAAGTCTAAATAAATCATGTAACTTTATTTTATTGACTGACAGATTGTATTTATGTAGGTAGCTATAACTCAAATATTCATAAAATTCCTAGAAAGATCTTCTTAAGACTTTTTTCTATTCAGAAATTAAGACCCCATTGTATGTACAGTGTTACTGGCCCTTAAGCATTTTGTGGAGGAGAGGGACTATACACACGTGGACATAAGATAAAAGTTGCCAGTGAATCCAATACAAACAATATGCACTAAGGATGTCCAGAAAGCAGATATCATTAGAGTTAGGAGATTTTAATTAAAGATGTCACCAGCAGGTCTAAATGTAGGTGAGGATTGGGGCACAAAAAGTCAGGGCATTGGAGTGAAATTAAACCAGAGAAACATACGGAAGATTTGCTCAGTCAAAAGGTATAAACAAGAGGTAAGAGCGGCGGGCACGTGAGAGTTGATGTCCATATGGTTCCAAAAGAAAACCCTGCAGGCAGGAGCAGTTGGATATTGGGTGTGTCCATGTTCCAGGGGACCAGGCTCCCATATGAGGAAACTAAATGGAGAAAGACTGAAAGATAGACTTCACAACCCAGCTTGGATTGACAAGACATCAGAAATGTATTGGCACAGAGGTGTACAGCAGATTTTAAGATGAGCAATGATAAAAATAACCTTGCAGAATGGCGGAGTATATAAGAAAAGAAGCCAGGGGACTGGAGATCGAGAAGCCAGAATTAGAGCTGCACTGATTCAGTGTGTGACACTTAGAAAAATGGCTCACTCTCCCGGAGCTCAGATTTTAACTTTTTATTACTTATTTAGTTAGTATTTTTTATTTGGGGTTTTTAAACTTTATTTATATATTAATCTCGATATTAATTTGTATTCCCATGCCAGTTTCTAAATATTTCTATTATTTCTGGACAAAGAAGTCACAAGAAGAGAGGAGCAGAGAGGGTTTGGGATTCAGAAAGCTGATCACTTCTTAACAACGAGTTAGACAGATGTTTAAATAGAAATAGAAAATGAACTTGCAGCCTTGCCACCTGTATTTTCCATAAGTATGAATTAAATTCTTCCTTTGTTTTCAAGGATAAGATACTTATGGGATCATTTGAATTTCAGTTTGTTTTGGACTTGTCTCAGTGTCCTTGCCATCTAAAGATGTTAATCCAAGACTCTTTTTCATGATTCATGTCACTGTAAACAATAGGAAATGACAAATGTCTGACTCTCATTGTGGGGGATGGGATTGTGTTTCCAGCACTCTGATCCTGATGTGGCAGGCGGCGGGTTTGGAGTCGAGTGTGGCCCATCTACTGAAGACAGTCTTGTTGATATTGAAAGGAAATCCTGGAACAATGCCGACCCCCACAGTGGACAAAAGACATTTCTCTCTCAAGGCTGCCAACATGATGCCTGTGGCAGTAAATAACACAATGAGTGTTCCTTCTTCTCAGTATTGTTGTCCTGACCATGAAATTCCCTGTCTGCCCACAAAATCATACTTTCTTAACAGCCCTCCTCTGAGGCATCCATTCGTCCAACACATATTTACTATGTGTGTACTGCATGCTAGACCCTGTTCATGGAGCTTACATTTTGTTAAGAGACACAGAAAATGAGCTCATAAGTCTGTTGTAGATCAGAAGGTAAAAGAAATATAAAGTTGCCCAGGGGAAAAGAAGGGGCAGGCAAGATTTAGGTAAGTTGGTTAGGGCAGGCCTCTCTGCTGAGGTAACATTTAATCAGAGACCTGAATCAGATGAGGGCGTGATCTTCAAATATATCTCAGAGAGAGAGTTCTAAACAGAGAAGGGGTCAGGCTTAGTGGCTCACCCTGTAATCCCACCACTTTGGGAGGCCGAGGTGAGTGAATTGCCTGGGCCCGCGGGTTCGAGACCAGCCCGGGCATCTTGGCGAGACCTCATCTCTACAATAAATCAAAAACTTAACCGGGCATGGTAGCACGTGCCTGTAGTTCCAGCTACTTGTAAGGCTGAGGAGGAAGGATCGCTGGAGCCCAGCCGGTCAAGGCTGCGGTGGCCGGGAGCATGCCACTGCAGTCCAGTCTGGGTAACAGAGTGAGACTCCAACTCAAAAAAATAAAAAATAAACAGAGAAGGGCAAAAGCCCTGTACAATGGAGGCCTATCAAGTATGTTCGAATCTGAGTGAATTGAGCAAGAATGAAAGCATAGGAGTTGCTATTTGAGAAGTAGCCACCAGCTAGATCATGCAGACTTTTGTAGGCATGTGAAGGCCCAAGATGGTTTGTAGCATCGTTTTCTATCTCCTGGGAATCAAAATAGCCCCTCCTGGGAGTGAATTCAGGTCTCATAGAGTTAAGGTAGAAAAAAGTTGGCATTGCTTCACAAATGTGAGGTGTTGGAATATATATTTCTTCAATGCCAATTATATTCTCAAAAAACACAATCCCAAACACCGTACTCTCGAACGTTGAAATCCCAAAATGACAAAATCTCTGAAGTTTAAAACCTCTAACATTTCATCGAGTCCTAAAACTCTAATGCCAGCTTTGGAATTAGGGGCAATCAAGGCTTCTAAAAGTGCATTTCAAGTTGTTACCAATAAAGTGTTATTTTTTTCCATTCAGCCCAATGCATTTGGCAGAAAATTCAGATAAGTGGATTGGCTAGGCAATATGAAAATGACAAAAGTGTTAGTTTAAGAATGTGTTATTTGTTTGCATTGGCATTCCTTTCAGTTGATGAAATTCTGGAGTTTTACTAAAATAAAGCCGCATTTGCCTTAAAAATCAGCAAAATTACTGACTAGTTCAACATAGGATAAGAAGACACACAATAGTGTTGCGGTTCAATCACCAGTTATTGTTTCCATCAAATTTGTAATCTGACAGCCGGGTTCGGTGGCTCAGCCTGTAATCCCTCGCCTTTGGGAGGCTGAGATGAGTGGATTGCCTGAGCCCGCGGGTTCGAGACCTGCCTGGGCAGCAAGACCTCATCTCTACAATAAATCAAAAAATCAGCTGGGCGTGGTAGCACATGCCTGTAATTCCGGTTACTTGGAAGGCTGAGGTGGAAGGATCGCCAGAAGCCCAGCAGGTCGAGG